TTAATCATGAATGCAAGAGGCATCCCCAAAGAAGGTACAAAAGAATGCAGCCCTCCCAAGACCCAAAAAGTTCATTCCCAAAGACAGTCTAAGAAAGCAAAAGCCCTTCATTGCTACAAGCAAGAATGGTATAGTAGGAACGGTATCTCCAGTCTCCCACAAAAATGTGAGACACCTCCAGTCACATACTCACTAATCTGTAGCATTGAGCAGGCACTATTAGAATGAGACTTTCCCAGCACTAACAAAGCAATGAAGCTTGAGACAACAAAGGCCCCTTATGGACTGGAACACCTTATGAAAAATTTTTCTGAGAGCTGCCATAGTTGGACAAAGAGTCACTGCTTGTGACTTAATATCTCAGATCCCAGTCTATTCGATTGGCCACCAAGATTTACCCCGGTAAATGCAACTTTTCAGATGGTGAAGACTGACGGAATATTTTCACTGGTCACAAAATTAAGCTTTCAAGACATAACAGAGACAAAAAGAAAAAACAGTGACTATTTCTGGGAGGAAAAAAAGATCGATAAAAACCGAGGGTAATCATTTACCTATGCTATGCTCAAGGAGCTAGTTCCACAAATTTTGTTATGGCGCGAACGATTCTGAGACCCACGGAGCCAATTGAGATTAATTATGAGCCTTTATTAGCCGGCCAGCGACTGACTCTCTACCACGCAGGGCTAGAGGAGATCAGCCCCGAGCTTTCAGAGCAGGCAGCTGATAAAGCTCAAGACCACATCCTGGTGGTCCCCAGAACAAGCCAGCAGATTACAGAAGGGGAAGTTGGCTTTGAGCATATCTTTACCCAGAACAACACCCTTAATTAACAAGTAAATGGATTACAGAAGCAGACATTGGCCATCTACATATTTTATACAATACATTTCCTAAACCACACACAAGCAAGTAGGACAACTTCTGATATCTAAAGATATTTCTTCCCTGTAGCTGACTTAGCTAGTTTGCTCACTTGAAAATTTTCCACCCTTAACAATTTAATTTAAATTTAAAAAGGTAAAAGAACCTCATCATTCTCATTTCTACTGGACCATGCAGGCAGAGATAAGAGAGGCTGATGTAAGAACTCCTACTTTCTGCCAGCTTTTGTCAGAAGGCCCAAGATCTCTCAACTACAGCAGCCTCGGGGTGGGTAGTGTCCAGCCAGTAAGGTTGAATTTTGACAACTACATCAACTGTCAGAGAGGAAAATTTTTTCCTCTACCATTCTAGGTTCTTCTGGATGGTCTAAGAATCAAATGGACATAAGATAGAAAACAGGGAAAAAAAAACAAACAGAAGTTTAATAACATGTACACCTCCTCTATACAAGAGAAGTACTCAAGAAAAGAGTAACTTCCTAAAATGGCTCAAGCCAATACCTTCTTTAGCTAAAAATTAAAATTTGGGGGTTGAGAAGTCAGTTATGGGAGCCTACCAGGAAAAGAACAATAAACAAGGATAAAGTTATTATCCAGATTTGTTTGCCTTCTCCACTTTATATTTAAGATTGAGATTTAAGATTAAGATTTAAGATTGCCTTTTCCATTGATAAGAGTTTTAGACATTTAGAGTCATGCTTCTCTTCCTGGTACAGAGAGGGAGACACACTTACAAATGGAGATTTCCCTTATAAATGTAAATTGTCTCCCACAGAGGGCAACTTCTACTCAGAGCTTTTCCTGTGCCTGCAGTTTTTAAAAAAGAATCAGCCTAAAATAATCCTTAAACCAAATAGACATAATTTAGGGTTGCAATTTTTGCTCTCCTAGTCTGTAAATGGTTTTTCAAACAGCTTCCAAATGATATTAAACATATATTCAAGTGATGAGTCCTCCAATATTTGTTTGAGCAAAGTCCATTACCCCTAACTTCTTAAAAACCTCTGTTTGTAAGACATCAGGGAGTTTGTACTTTTGAGCAATAGCTTTCCTGTTCTTTTAGCATGGCCTAGCAATAAAGTGACTAATTTCTCTACTGCAATTCTCAGTGTTCAGTTTGGCTCTACTGTGTACCGGGAGGGATGAACACTCT